GCATCTGAACAGAGAAGACTGGAGAGGAAGACGTTTAAGTTACTAGAACCTTGTGTCCTCTAGAGGGCAGGGCCAAGGTCAGAGGGAGGAACTTAAAGACTTGGGCTTCATTTATGGAAGAGCTTTCTAACCATTAAAACTGGTTAATAATTGTAACTGGTGATGTCCAGATAGTTAGACGGCCATTTGCCAGGGAGGATGGAGAAGGTTGGACAGGGTTACTTGAAGATGCGTGTCAGCTCCTAAGCTTATTGAGTACGTGAGATCAAGAGACCGAGCAGAAAGCAGAAAGCAGACGGTGCTCTTCCTCAAATGTCCCATGCGGTTGCCCTGTCGTCTGCAGGCCCTGCAGCTCTGTGCTCCTTCCTTCTCTACATTGAAGGAGAGTTGGCTGCAGTCACAGTTTGTCTCTGGCCTTGGGTTGTGAGCACCATTCATTTGCTCTGCAACTATCTATCGAGAGTCTAGCTCATGCCAGACACTGTCCAAAGTACCAGGAACGCAGTGATGGATGAGACAGACAGAGGAGAGACTTGGCGCTCATAAATGCAGGGATAACACCTTGCTGGTTTTCACCTCTAGCCTGTACTGTTACCTAGCAGAGAGTAGGAGCTCAGAGCGCTTGAATGAATCATTAACTATGAGTAAAAGAACTTGCACCATTCTCAAAAGCTATTTTGCCTGTTTTATAAGAAGTGTGTAAAAATACGATGTTAAATCCAAACCAAACCCGTTGCCATCGAGTTAATTCTGACTCATGGCATCCCTAGGTGTTATAAAGTAGAACTTCTCCATAGGGTTTTCTTGACTGTAATCTTTATGGAAGCAGATCACCAGGCCTTTCTTCCACAGCACCACTGGACGGGTTCGAATCACCAACCTTTAGGTTAGCAGGTGGTGCTTGTACCACCCGGGGAAATAATGACATTAGATACACCTAAATTTTAATCTTCGCAATATTGAAATTTACTTTAGTTTTCTTTTAACTTTAAAAAAAGAAAAACTGGTATTCAGACTACCCAAATAAGAAACCCTGTCGGGAAGTATAAAAAGAATCGGGAACCGCCTCTCTTTCTTTGGGACTGTGGTCGGTTTTTCCCCCGACATCATCTGCCTCTTTTGCCATTTCCCCCAGGAGCTCAATGAGCTAAAGGACCAGATTCAGGATGTAGAAGGCAGATACATGCAGGGACTGAAGGAGATGAAGGTACCAGCGGACACGGTGTGGGCTTGTCATATTAACCAATTTAACTTGACAGAAATCAGGAAGAAGACATTCACCCTGCATGCTGTACGCTAAACAGGCTCCAGATCATAGAACGCAAAGTGGCGGTGATGCTGGCCTCGCCGGACATTTGCCCAAGTGCAGTTTTGAACCCAGACTTAAAACCTGTAGCTCCTCAGTAGAAAAGGTTACTAATGTATTTCCCTGATGCATGGTTTGTACTCACCCTTCCCCTCTCCACCCCACTACCCCCGATCCTGGCTTAAAACCAGCTTCTCGTTTCCCCCCAGACAGGTACCGTACCCTCGAAGAAGCATTTTTGGTTTTCTTCCCTTTCCGTAGTAGTTCCATACAAGCAGTGTTTTGCTTAACTTGCTTCTGGAGATCTTTGACGTCTCCCAGTAAGCCAGTCCTCAGGGGCCATGCTTTTGAAGCTTCCAAAGTATTTGCATATGTAAAATTCTACTAGCTGAAGTGATGTCTGAGTGTGTGTCGTCTTGGATTTCTTTGAGTATGTGCATGCCACATTGAGAATGTGGAGTTGCTTCATCAACCAGGAAATGTGGTTCCCATGTTCCTGGAAGGCAAGGTGAGTATTCGGCGACCGTGTTTTCTTTCTGCGTCTCTGCTAGGCAGCTTACAGCCGATTACCGATCTAGCAGTCGACTGTGGCTCTGTTCCTTCCTTTCCAGCTCCCCAGAAGGTACCTGGAAACAGGCTTCAAACTGATTCTTTTCAGTTTGACCCCCTACTAAAAATTTGCATTTCCACCCCCAGATATACTGAATCAGAATCTACATTTTAACAAGATCCCTCAGGAGAGAATCATCTGGGATCTTGCTAAAATGTAGATTCTGATTCAGTATATCTGGGGTGAAAAGGCAAATTTTCAGCAGGGGGTCGAATCAAAAAGAACCAGTTCGAAGCCCTGCCTGGATAAAAGTCAGAATTCATTATCACACGGGGCGCCAGACAGAGGGTGACATAGATCACGTGACTAGTTGACTTTTTCATGTATGTCACCTCTCCTTTGTTATCGTTGGGTGCTGTCAGGTCGATTCTGACTCATAGCAACCCCATGTGACAGACAGAGGAGAATTGCCCCATAGGGTTTCCAAGGCTGTAATCTTTACGGAAGCAGATCACCAGGTCTTTCTCCCAAGGAGCTGCCTTTCAGTTAGCAGCCGAACGCTTTGCCGTTGGGCCACAAGGGGAAAAAGTTAAGACTTTGGCTTATGACTTATATAGAAAGAGAGCCATTGAGCAGCCCAGGGCCCACTGGTCCCAGCTGAGGTTGCCCTCCGGTTTGGAAGGGCAGGGCGAGGCGAAGCGGGCAGTACACAGTGCGCTTGGCCCAGCAGTGCTCATCTTCTTCAGCTTCTGCTGTTGGCGCCCTGCTGATTCTACCTTTCTGTTCTCCTGGAGCTCCTTCCCCGATTTGTCTGGGGATCTAAATGCAAACCGCCCGGCGCTGAGCCAAGTGGTGGCATCACCCTGGTACCTTGCTGGCCTCTTTCCCGGCTGTCGTTCCAAAGGGATGGCCTTTGTCTTTCCGGGGCCCGCTAGTGAGACCTGTGCTCCTTGTTTGTTTAGTTCTCCGGCAGGTTGAGAATCTGCAATCACCTCTTAATCCTTTCCTGCTCCGTAAGCCAAAATCAAGATGATTGTCAGTAGCTTTTGGCAAGTGCTGAGTTTTCTCAGCACTAGTCACGGGCCCTGTCCCAGGTTCCGGATGTGTGTCTTGAGTGATTATTTCAGAAACCCGTTGAACAACTCTGCCACGCTAAAATGGGAAGCTTCCTGGCTCGGGAATCATGGCGTGTTTTGCGCTGACACTGGCTGCAACGTAGCGTTTGTCTGAAGAGTCAGTGGTTGTCCTGCCTGTGGGACCAACACCCTTTCTACGCTGTATGCCCTTTGTTCTGACGAGGGTATAAGTTGCTTTCATCTCTGGGATTGTTGCTGTGTGCCGTCAAAGCGACCCCACACGGCAGAGTGGAACTTGCCCCATAGGTTTCCTAGGCTGTCATCTTTACGGGAGCAGATTGCTGGCTCTTTTCTCCCACAGAGCTGCTGGTGGGTTTGAACCACCGACCGTTCAGTTAGCAGCCGAGCACTTAACCATGGCACCGCCAGGGCACAGTTAAGAACAAATTTTCTGAGTGATGAGAATTTGATCAAACTGAAAAGAGGAAACGTCTAGACATTTGAAATTGCCAGGTGTTTCTTATTCTGATTCATTTGCACTAAGAAATCAAGTCTGAATGTAGGGCTGAGGTTTTTATTTTAAATTTGTAAAGGAATACCAGATTAATCATTGTTTTTGTTTTCTCGCTGAGATTTCAAAAATATGCCCCGGTTTCTGCAGGACTCGCTAGCAGAGGTCGAAGAGAAGTACAAGAAGGCAATGGTTTCCAACGCCCAGCTGGACAACGAGAAGACCAACTTCATGTACCAGGTGGACAACCTAAAGGACACATTGCTGGAGCTGGAAGAACAACTGGCTGAATCGAGGAGACAGTATGAGGAGAAAAACAAAGTAAGCTGTAGTATGATGAAGAGCAGTATTGTCGTTAGGTGTCAGGGAGTCAATTTCAACTCATAGCAACCCCATGTGACAGAGTAGAATTGCCCCAAAGGGTTTCCTAGGCTAATCTTTATGGAAGTACATGGTTAGGTCTTCCTCCTGAGAAGCTGCCGGGTGGGTTTGAACTGCCAACCTTTTGGGTAACAGTGGAGTATTAACCATTGCACTACCAGGTTTCCTTATAAAGAATAGTAGCTAGACAGAGATACAGGTATAGATGTGTGTGTGTGTGCGTGTGTGCGTGTGTATAAAAAACCAAAACCCACTGCCATCAGGTCGATTCCGACTCATAGCGACCCTATATGACAAAGTAGAACTGCCCTACAGGGTTTCCAAGGCTATAAATATTTTACAGAAGTAGACTGCCACGTTTTTCTCCCGCAAAGCAGCCGGTGGGTTCACAACCGCCAACCTTTCAGTTAGCAGCCAAGCACTTTAGTCAGTGCGCCCCCAAAACCCAAAATCAAATCCACTGCTGTCAAATCGATTCTGATTCATAGCAACCCCATAGGGTTTCCAAGGCAGTCAATCTCTACAAAAGCAGACTGCCACATCTTTCATGTTCCCCCAGGGCTCCATGTATGTATGTACGTGTGTGTGTATCTGTGGTGCTCCAATTGTCCAAAAGCTCAAACATCTGTGAGTGAGAATACCATGTTCTTTGCTGAGTGGCTAGAAGTATTGATGCACGTCATTTCAACATGTAAACTAGAGACAATTTTCCTAGGAGAAAAATTAGTATTTTAGATGCAATGTAAACACATAACCGTGAAGAAGCATGCCTAATAAAATAACCAACATGTTTGTGGGTAAACCACAATTAACTGGGTCAGGATTTTCTCTTGATCTACATTCCCTATTTTGCATTTCATTGTCTGCGGACACCATAGAGAAATGGTCAGTTACAAGTGGCAAGGATTTTAAGAAAATCGTATTCATTTATTTCCTGAGAAGAACCATACTTACTCCATTTAAGAACCAAAACATCTTTATTGAGCTCTAAGAAGGGTCCGCTCTTGGTTGAGCTTTGTTCAAGAGTGATCTCTCCTCATCTTTGGCTCTGGTTCTCCTCTTTCATAGGAGCTGGAAAGGGAAAGACACGCCCACAGTATCCTGCAGTTTCAGTTTGCGGAGGTGAAAGAGGCCCTGAAGCAAAGAGAAGAAATGCTTGAAGTAGGTAGCGTTTTCCAGTTTTTCTTTTTCATCTTGGACTTTTGAGTATTTTGTTGGTTCATTACTAAAGTTAACAGCTTTCTCCAAAAATGCAGTTCAGGCTAATTCTCTGTCTCACTTAAGGAAATAGTCCCTGTCATGGGTGAAGAGTCATCTCATTCTTTGGTGGTTTTGTGTTTGTTTTGGGGAGATGTAGAAGACAGAATAATGGCCCCCCAAAGATGTCCACATCCTAATCCCCAGATACTGTGAATGCGTGACCTTACGTGGCGGAGGGACTTTGCTAATGTGATTAAGTTAAGGACCTTGGGATGGGGAGATTATCCTGAATTATCCGGATGGGCCCCATGTTAGAAGACAAGAGTCCTTGTGAGAGGGAGGCAGGAAGGTCAAAGGCAGAAGAAGTAGGAGATGGGATGATGAGGCAGAGGCTGGAGTGATGTGAGGATGGGGCCATGAGCCAAGGAATGTGGACGGCCTCTAGAAGCTGAAAAAGGAAAGGAACAGATTCTCGCCTAGAGCCTCCAGAAGGAACGCAGCCCTACCCACACCTTGATTTTAGCCCCATAAGACTTGTGTTGGACTTCTGACCTCCAGAACTATCAACAAATAAGTTTGTATTATTTTAAGCCACTATATCTGTGATAATGTGTTATAACAACAATAGAAAATGAATACAGAAGGTTGCTTTTGTTTTATAAACTTAATCAGTACTTTCGCTAGTTCCTTTGTATAAATAAGAAATCACCTAAACGGAGTAGAATGAGGGGAAAAAGCCTGGAATGTGGAAGGTGAATTCAGGGTTAGCGAGTTAAAATGGTACTTGGAGCCTCCAGGTTTGAGTGTGGACTCAGCGATGGCCGATGACCGACCAGCAGAGCGCTCAGCTTATCTGGCCCTGGAGTTTTCTTTCCTGTTTAACCCTTTATCTGCTTTCTTTCTATCTGTTCCTATCCCTCAGGAAATCCGACAGCTACAGCAGAAACAGGCGAGTTATATCAGGGAGATTTCTGATCTTCAGGAAACAATAGAATGGAAAGACAAAAAGATAGGGGTAGGACCCTCACGTTTTTGAAAATTCATCCAGTTGGGCAGTCGGCTTGGCAGATTTCCCTTTTTTAGAGCATTTGGTTTGCAAAAAGCTTGTGTGAGTGTGCATGCCACCCCGCGTGGGATACCGAGTTATGGTGAATACACCAACTCACCCAACTTGGCATTAGCTCAGTCTAAAGCTGACGTAAGCACAAAGGTTCGCGTTTTGCCAGCGCTGACCGACCTCGCTCTGGCTGCACTGTGAGTGGAGTTGAGATCTCTGGAGTGTGGAAGGCGCTCTGCGGCAGGGCTAATGTGCAGAGGTTCAGAACATGCTAGAATTCCCTGCTGGGTGTGACTGCGCTTTCTCACAGAGGATGTGAGGAAGCTGCAGGGCGGGGGGTGCAGTGGCCCACGTATGTCCACCTTGAAATCTAACCCGGGAAGACCACTCAGGCTCTCCCTCTCCATGAGAGAAGAACGGAAACTCACCCGCACTTAGGCAGGGAGGAGAGGAAGAAAGGAACCCCACAAAGTAACTGCTACAATGCATAGTAACAAATGGTTTCCAAAAAGTCAACACTGGCACTGCATAGCTTCTGAGGAAAGCTGTGGATCTTTGAGCACATCACGCGTTCATTTACATCGTGAAGCTGCAGCGTGTTTTCCCTGTGATGTGCTTGTCTACACTTAGGTGGGATTTTTGTGTGTGGTTCTGCTTTAGGACCACTTTATGTTTGTGAGAACAAAAGACAAAACTCAACGTAGAATAGTCTACATAAAGTGCTACACCAGTTGTCATTTCGGGGTTCCTAAACATTTCTTTCCTCTGTTCTTCATTTCTCCCTCATTTAAATGGGTACACTGCTTCTGTTCTCTAACCCAAAGCTGTGAAACCACAGACTGAGCTAGAAATGAGGCAAATAAAATAGTCCCCCGTGCCGTGCACTCTGGTGCTGTTCTTCAGAAGGTCAGAATCTTTCCGGGAGCATGAACCCTAACGTTCCTTGGTTTGCATGAACTAAAAGAAAGCTTAATGGCTGCATTTTTGTTTGTATTTCTAAGCATATTCTATCTAATGTCGTAAAACTCTGTTAAAGTTGTACAGTAGGAGCCTACTTCTTATTCCTGCTTCTTAAGTGCTCTGCTTACCGGTACGACTCTTCTTTTTTCTCTTTGCACTGCTGCGTGCTCAGGCCTTAGAGAGGCAGAAAGAGTTCTTTGATTCCATAAGGAGTGAACGAGATGACCTTAGAGATGAAGTAGCCATGCTCAAACAGGAACTGAAGGTATGGAGTCAAAGTACAGTTTCAAAACATCCAGGGGAAGCAGCACATTCTGGGATGCTCGAGAATGAGCGTGTGCGAGCGTGGGTGTGTGCTGCTGTTAATTAATTCTGTGTTGTTGACCTTAGCTCTGTTAATCAATTCAAATCTTAGGTTAACAGGGAATGGAGAGGAAATGTAGGCTCAGTAGAATCTGCCCGCTCGTGGCCTCTGATGTGTGCAAGCATTGAAGACAGCTCTGATTTCCAGCAGTTTTTTGATATGCTGTCTAAGTCCTGTCCCATACTCAGTAGTAAATTCTTCAGGGCATTACTAAAATGTAGAGAACCTATTTGATTCTTTCTAACGAAGCCTCAAGTTTCAGGACTTCTCTAGCTGAACAGGTCTGCGGTGAGTGGTGCACACTGGAGATGCCCGAGCTAACCAGGCTGTAAGACACGCCAGCATGTCGCAGGAGGACATTCCCGGTCCTCTCTGGACCACGCCAAGGGGTCGTCAGCCACTACCCGGAAACAGTGGAAAGCTAGTGGGCAGCAGTGGGGCCAGAGCGCAGAGTGGGTTCCCAGAGCCCCGAGGAGGCAGTGATGAGCAAGGGCGTGGCTGTGGGACCATCCCTGCGGAGCTGCCGGGAACGTGTCGGTGTGCTGCTGTGCTCCAGGGTCACAGCCCGAGCTGTAAACCCACAGGGCCCAGGCTCAGAGCTAAGGTCCACCAGCTCGGATGGTGGGTTCCTGAGAAGGTCCCCGCTCCGCATGCACTCGCTTGCCTTGGGCAGCCCCACGCTGAATGATGTGCCTGCGGTGCTGGGAGTCCTGCAGACACCAGAGAGACAGCTGTGGGGAGAGGAGGTGGGAGCGAGTGGTCAATGGTGAAGTAGGGTCCTGGGGTGAGGAAGGGAAGCCATTCTTAAAGCGTTTCACTACGCAGTGAGCGTGAGTTCTACTTCTTTGAGTTTTCCAAGCATTCTAGCCACCATCTTAAACCTGCTGCTGTCAAGTCAATTCCAACGCATAGCGACCCTGTAGGATGGAGTGGAACTGCCCCACAGGGTTTCCAGGGCTGTAATCTTTATGGAAGCAGACTGCCACATCTTTCCCCCACGGAACAGCTGGTGGGTTCGAACCATCGACCTCTCGGTTCGCGGCCAAGCGCTTTAACCACTGCGCCACCAGGGCTCCTAGCCACCATCTCAATCCCTTGCGTATCATCGGTTTTGTTCATTCCTTTCGGGACGCATCCATGTTTCTTTCATTATCCCAGTCTCTCTTTTTAAAGGATGCAGCCTTGGTCTCAAAATTAAAGATCACTTTGCAGGGCTCTGCTCAATGCCCCAGCTTGTGGAAGCCCACAGGCCATGACCTCTGGTTAAAAAGGCTGCCTGTTGACAGGAGCTTGTCACCAGCGAATCCAGACATGGAGCACAACACGTGCCTCAGAGTTGTGTGTGTTGACAGGATAGTTCTGGGCGTGATGTCCTAACACTGCCCTGTTTTACAAGAGCTCCTCTACTTCAGGAGACACTTTCTTCCTGCTACTGCTATTATTGTTATTACTAAGATAGAGTTTCACCCAGCATCACTCAGTGAGTATTACAATAAGCTTGTTTTTGTTCCCAGAAACATGGAGTAATCCTAAATTCAGAAATAGCTACCAATGGAGAGCCTTCTGCCACTCTCAGTAATGTTGGCCACCAAGATTCCACCAAAATGACAAAAGAAGAGTTAAATGCCCTCAAGTCGACAGGAGACGGGACGCTAGGTAAGTATCTGTTTCTGTTGGGTCTTTCCACCCCCCCAGTCAGCATCAATTCACCTTCCGTGCATCGTTAGAATTAAAGTCATCACCACTGATCCATTAACAGTCACACGGCATGCCATCTGTCTGTCACTTCACGGCGTGGCCGCCCGAGCGGTGGGCTCACCCCGTGTGTCCTGGCATTCACCTCCCTGTGCTCACCACTGACGGCTTAAGTTCACGTTGCTCTTGCTTCTCGCAGCTGCCCAGTGAGATGTGAGCACGAGGAAAGGAGTCTCAAACTTAAGGGCTATTTGGACAGTAACTGCGTGCTTTTTCCTCGGTGACATACCCAGTCTGGCCCTTTGAGCGTATTCTGTCACAGAAGTGTACAAAGAGCAGCGTAGTTGAGGCTTGCAGTAAGTTCGTGTCTGTAATAAGCCCGGCAAGCTCCGTGCCCCACCCCGTGTTCCCAGGTGTGAGGTGCCTCGGACAGGGGCCTGGTGCTTGAGATGAGGCATCTGTCTCTTGGTTGCCGTTCTAAAACCACAACTGGAGACGGACAGGTAGCGCTAAGCATTGAATGTGACCGGGGCAGATGAGGGTGCTTACCAAGGAGACTTGGAGCATACCTGTCTCTGTGTCAAAGGTGGTATTCCCTCCCTTTGTACTTACACTTTTGCTTCTGAAAGAACATAAACTGGGGAATCCAACAGATTGCAGAAGTAGTTTATACAATTTGCACTTATCTGAAAAGTTGACTGATTCATGCCCCTCTGAGGACTGTTTGTCTTGATATCAGGTTTTGGTGCCAACCTTCCGATTCTGGGGTCCAAACCTCAAGTTACAGCCACAAATAAGGTCTCACACGTCCTGGTTCCAGCTACATTCCAGCTTTTTAAAGTGAGGCTGGAATGAGGTCAGGGTCCATGATTCTGATTTTGGTTTAGAAGCTTTCATCCTCTTTCTTTTTATTTATGGAAATGTAGACGGCTGTAGGCCCCAAATTCTCAAGACTTGCTTCCCAGGGAGGTACTGCATTATCTTTTTGATGATTATGATGGTTAAAGAAATGCAGCTCTTTTAATTGTGTCAAAATTGTTGAAAGAAGATCAATAATTAATTTCCATCCTACCTTTATATCAGCTACCTGAGCAGCTAAGAATTGATCATGCTGTTCTTGTTCAAATATCCGTTTTTATAAATCTTAGACAACCATTTGTAAAATGCTTAAAGAATCAGAAATAAGTTTTGGAAGTGGTTTCCAAGTGTTTTTTGATCACATGTCCTTATCAGTAAAAAATTGGGGGAATGTCCCAATGTATATTTTTATTTTTAATTTATATATGTATTATTCTATTTCATTAATGTAAGATGTGCATTATAAGACAAATGCAGTAATAGAAATTTTAAAGGGACTAACTCTAAATAGAAGTTCTAATGTTTTCCTCCATTTTCTCTGGGGAAAGTACACCCCCTGTGGAGACCTCGAGGTTACAAAGTTACCAAACTTGACTTTGGGCAGGATGGTATCAAATGTGCTGGAGTTACGTTTGTTTGGAGAACACAAAATACAGCTGTTCATTCCAAAGCAGTGATATGTTCTTTAATTGATAAATCGTTTATTGTTTAATTAAGTGGCCATCTTGATCCTAAGCACTTGCCTCCTGCTGGAATTTTTTCCCTTCCCTTAGGAACGGAGCAAATGTTTGCAGGGCACAGGCTTGAGATATTGTCTCAGGAAGATATACATTGATTGGGTGGTGGAAGGTGGATTTCTTTTTACATCATATGAGCTGTTTCAAAAATATTGTCTTTGAGACTGACCTTGAGGCTGAGTTTCTTAATGTGAATTGAATGTCCCTTTAAAAAGTCACTTAGAAGCCCCTTTAGGGCTGTGTGAGATGTGTGGTGCCTTTTGACAGCTGAGGAAGTATGAGTAGTCAAGATGTGCACTTAGAAAGGAGAATGGGGACCCAAACCTAAATCCATCCTTAAACCTCAGCATTTTAGATTGTTTCGCTGCCTGATCCAAAGCTCTTTCTATTGGTTAAAACTTAACTTCACCTTTAAAAAAATCAGTTCACTCAAGATGGCGCCAGAAACCACTCTTGCCTTCTAGCTGGTGGCGGGGCCTTTGCTGATCAAGAGTTTCCTAACACAGCTGCTGCTGTGCCGCACGGAGCTGGCAAAGGCTTCTGTTACGTGTGGCTCTTGATGGTTCTCTCTCTTTAGGAATGGGCTCGGGTGGGAATTAGGACATGTGTTTGCATTTAGTATATATCAGGTGGTCACCACATCATGTGGTCCCTTCAATTTTCTCAATGGTCTTTTAGGAAGAGCCAGTGACGTGGAGGTGAAAAATGAAATTGTGGAGAATGTGGGGAGAGGAGAAATCTTGCAGAATACTGAGCAAGAACGGCACAGAGAGGACAGAGTAAAGGACTGTGTGGACACGGAGGGATTACATCCTGGGGAAAACACCGAGGACCAGAAAACCTGTGAAGACAAGGCCTCCTCCCCAGGAACGTTAGCAAATGTGAAAGATGAGGAGCAGGTCACGAATATGCCAGGTGATAGGACTAGGGCTTCCCTTGAGGAACCCAAACACTTAAGTGATTTAGGTAGTGAGAGCCCAGACCCTGTGGTTGAGCAGCACCATGGTAGTGCCCTGGATATCAAAAATGAAAAGGAAGAATCTGCAGAAAAGCAGGAAAATGAAAAACAAGAAGATTTTAAAACCAGCTTGGGAGAGGTTAGCATCCAACCGTGTCAGGAATCTGTTCCTTCGCACATACCAGACGTTGAAAGGGCAAGTGGTACAGACACTGGCGGGCAGTGTGGCAGCCCCACAGAGAGTGTGGATGAGGCAGGGGTAGCTCATGTTGGGGAGCAAGTGGGCCTAGTGGCCTCAAGTCCTCCAGAGTGTAGTGAAGACCCAGTGAATCAGGATGAAAATCATGCAGTAGATGTCCCTGAATACCCAAGCACAGTGTGTAGCTTAGAGAAGGAACTTGCCAACCAGGAAGTAGCCGAGCCCAAGGAGGCCCCGACTCAGAGTGCAGAAGTAGGTAGGGAGCCCAGTGACGAAGACAACAAAACTGAATCAATGGATGAAAAACCCACAGAAGTCCAAACCATTCCTTGTTCTCCAGCAGCCAAGAGCAACCATCAGCCAACAGGTGCAGGTAAGGTGGAGAGTGAAAGTGAACCCCTAGATCTGAAACAAACCCATGAAGAAAAGAACAGCCCACAGGGGGAGACCTTGGACACATCACAGAAGAAGACAAAGACCAAGAAGAAGAAAAACAGGAAGAAAAAATTGCCAGTCCCTGTAGGAACCCATAAAGATGTTGAGGAAGAGTTAGCATTTCAGAACCCAGATTTAAGTGAAGTTAAGGAGGAAGCACAGGCAAAACTTACTGACAAGAAACCAGCAGGAGAAGCCCAGAACGAGGTAACTGAAGACGCAGGAGAGAAAACGGTATCAGGGAGCACTGAAAATGTTGAGCGTCCAGAAGGTCCTAAAATTGAGTTGGATGGAAAACTTGACCAAGAAGATGATGATGTAAAAACTAAGGTAGGAAAAGGAATAGCTGATAAAGACTCAGTAAAGTTTGAAGATGATACAATTCAATCATCGGGCACTAGTACTAGCGATCAAGGATTGGGTGGAAGTGTTACACAAGGTAACGCTAGAAAAGAAGCTGCTCAGAGCAGTCCTCTGGAACTAGAGGATGAAGACGCGCACAGCAGACCCTCCGAGGAAGTTAGTGATACCTCCCAAACAGAAAGCGCAGAGAGGTGTGTGGGGTCAGAGCATCCAAGTCAGACAGTCGAGAAAGTGTTAGAGAACGTTAGTCTAGAAAACAGTGACTCATCGGCACTGGCAGGAGAGTTGGGGGACTTCCAGTCAGAATACAAAGAAGGTCCGCAAGATGGAAATGAGAAGAGCAGAGGCAAAGAAGACTGTACCATGTGCTGAGCTGAGGCAAAAACAGAGAGGCAGCTGGTAAGGTGAAGGCTTAGAGAGGACCAGGGACTGCACAGTAAGTCAAAATGTCAGGAAGCACTTGTCTTCTCTCTCTGCTGGCGATTTGCATAAAAAGTTCTAAATCGGTATAGATGCACTGTATGGCAATCAATCACCAAGTTACCTACTCCTTTACACTGTAGACTGTTAACCTTTAGATTTCTATTCAGTCATTACGGTTCTCACCCAGATTAGAAAGACAGACACCTTTGTTGTAATTGAGAGCACTCCAGTGATATCAAACAATAATGTACGCTGTTTCTATTCCTGCTTCAAATCAGAATAAAAATATTGAACATGTGCCTTAGGCTGATGTGAATGTGGATACTCTTGACCAAGTAGATCAGCATCTAATTGAAAGGACCAAATTGAATTTTGAGTTTCTGTGTTGTGAGTTGAATTGATGTTTAAATTAATCCCATTCAGATATATGTACTTTCATATTTGATTTTAACATGTACGTTATAACCTGAATGGTGTTTTATTTAAAGGTGACAAATGGCCAAATAGCATGTAGATCACTGAATGATAAGATACACACCTTAGCTCAAAAATTGATCATTTTAGGGATAATGAGTAAACATCTTTAAGCACTAGAGAGATATTGTTCACCTTGACCTCATAGAAGTATTTTATTTCAAACCAATACTTTTGGACCGCATTGTTGATGATACCTGAATTTATTTTGTAGGAGATTTTGACTTCACTTTATGCTAATTACGTACGAGATTCATTGTATGCAAAGATTCTAATTTTTTTTTTTTAATTCTGGAGGAGATGTATGTTGAAATTGCATTCTCTATGACACTGAAGTCTCTGGGCAGGGCAGAGTCATTTTTTAAATTGATTTTTTTTTAACCTTAAAATTACTTCTCTTTCTGTTGGAGTGTCTACTTATTATTCAGAAGAGCCTTACAAATGGTTACTGATCTTGCTAATTAGACTATAACCGGGTTTTTTTAAATAGTTGAATCATTTTTGGTATTTTGGTATAAATACTTTTATTTGCTGTTTTTCTGTGCATTCTTACTGGAAATTTCTTGTTTTGATCTGTCTGAAGGGAATATATATTTTCTATATAAAGAAGCATTTAGAAAAATAATTGTGACATGTTAAAATCACAAGGGAATGTACATCATGAATGCTGTTGACACTTTATGAGATTACGTGACTTCATATTACTGTTACAAGATACAATTAAGTGCCCAAAGACCAAAACCTCAGTAAGATTTGGGGCAACTGTAAGTGTTACTATGTAATGGAAATAAAAACATTTTATAATTTTAAGAGCCTGTGATTCCACTCTCTGGCTACTTGAGGTCTGATTCTGGCTTCCGTTACACATAATACATCTTTAAAGTAACGTCTCCTTCTGGGAGCTACGTCTCCACCGAGGCTGTGCACAAGACTTATGCCCGGTGCCCTTCGTAAGTACTGAGTCGTCTTCCTTCTGGGCCTCTAGACTGGGCCTGACATTGGACCATCCTCTGGAGAGCTGAGAAGATCATCACTCATATAGTCTGCTGTGATTCTGACGAGGAACTCCAGCTGAGAAAGGTCTCCATTCTGTCCCTTTGCTATTTGTATGTGCCAATACCTAAGACTGTTTTTTGAAGAGTATGATTGTCTTAGTCATCTAGTGCTGCTATAACAGAAATACCACAAGTGGATGGTTTCAACAAAGAGAAGTTTATTTCCTCACAGTGAAAGTAGGCTAAAAGTCCAAATTTAGGGCGTCAGCTCCAGGGGAAGGCTTTCTCTCTCTCGGCCTTCTCATCAGTGTTCCCCCAGACTAGGAGCTTCTTGGCGCAGGGACCTCGGTCCAAAGGACGTGCTCTGCTCCCAGCACTGCTTTCTTGATGGTGTGAGGTACCCAATTCTCTGCCTGCTTCCCTTTCCTTTTATCTCTTGAGAGAGAAAAGGTAGTGCAGGCCACACCCCAGGGAAACTTCCTTTACATTGGATCAGGGATGTGACCTGGGTAAGGGTGGTGTTACAATCCCACCCTAATCCTCTTTAACATAAAATTACAATCACAAAATGGAGGCCAACCACACAATTCTGGGAATCATAGCCCAGCCAAATTGATACGTTTTTGAGGGGACATAATTCAAACCATGACAATGATGAAAACAGCAGCTAAACCTCGACTATTTTTGTGTAAGTGTCTTGAGGTGGAGGATCATGGGGATGATAAATCCTCTCTCGTTATGCCATACAAATAGAAAAATATGAGGTTTGCTGGAGAATCAAGCCCACCAGCTGTAAAGGGCTTTATGGGGTTTGCTGGAGAATCAAGCCCACCAGCTGTAAAGGGCTTTATGGGTTTTGCTGGAGAATCAAGCCCACCAGCTGTAAAGGGCTTTATGGGGTTTTAGTTTAGCTCCCTGACATCAAAATTGTACTCACACCACCTTGGTAAACAGCTCTCATTGCTACTTTTAAAGCCCTCTTGGGAAGTGACTCAACAACCAGACTCACGAGTTTGTGAAATCAGTGACCCATTTAAGTTCTTCCCTTTCTTTCCCATGTTATTCAAGAGCACATTTACGGATGTGATGACAGACTTCTCATCCCTCAACTCAGCCACCCAGCAGTCTCAGTTACCCACTGACTCACGCATTCCTTCAGTTAGTAAGCATTTTTGATCACTTCGTATTTGGAAGGCACTGTGCTAGCGAACAAGCAGATAGGATTCTGTGGGGAGTGGACAGCTGAGAATCAGTAAGTGAGCAAAACAAACAAAAAGACTTCTGAAGAGCCAAACCATTTCTTGCCCTTTGAGAGGCCTTCATGGCAGACATTGGTTACTGTGCTTCGGGAGCGTGATGACATCATAGCCCAGCATAGTCACCAGTGTTCACAGTAAAGGCCTTTGAGTGATCAAGAAATGGTTACATTCAGTGTACTCAGTTTCAATGGCCATGGAAACATAGAAGGCAATGTAGAAAGATTTCAGTGTCAAAAGATAAAACTCAGACAAGAATCAAAAGGCTACCTGTCAACTACATTCCCAAGGTCACTTAGGTCCCTGAAACGTTATTATAGTACAAAACAGAGCAAAACATTTAGGACTGATGCCTTAAACTCAAAAAGCTTGGGTATTGTTCAGCCCCAAACTAGAACTTGGCTACTGTATATAAAATGTAAATCTCCCTTCAAAAATATACTTATATAGAAAATAGGGAAAAGCAACTGAAACTTTTTAATTATAGGTTATTTTAAAATATGCAAAGGTTGAAAGCAATAGCATTTTTTAAAGAGTTTTTAAGAATTGTATTAAGAAGGCATTGCATTGACTACTTCCTGTAATTTTGAGTATTTTCAGTTACAGAAGACCTCACGACCTGAATTTGTCAATTTCCATGCTCACCAGGACCCTGGCATGCTAATTCTGGGGGGTTTAGATGCTCCTAGGTTGCTGTTCTTTATCGAGAAACCCTTTCCTAGGAGACCACATCGTACAGTGAGTCCCCACGGGAATCGAGTCAAGGGAACGCAAGAGGGAGATTCCTTCCAAAGTTTGGGCGCCTAAAGGAGACGAAGGGTTTTGTTTGTTTGTTATGTTCAGAATATGTACTTAGTGCAGTGATTTTATATATATATATAAACCTTTGTCTTTCAGGGGAAACAAATCCCTTTGCCCTTCCCCCTCCTCCCTCTCTGCTACTCCTCTTACATCAAAGACATACATATTTTGGGAGATATGAACAGCTCCCGCTCTTCAGCTGGACTCAAGCCCAAGGTTGCCGAGTGGAGGGAAACGGTTCCCTTCTGCCCAGGCCCCTCGGCCCTGTGAATAGGAGAAAAGGCTTCTTCCGCAACCTGCCTGTACTCTGCCTTTTGCGAGCAGTAGAGTCCCTGCAGGTCTCGGTGGCACGACTAGTTTGTGATCGGCTGCTTACCCAAAGGTTGGTGGTTCAGACCCACCCAGCGGCTCCAAGGAAGAAAGGCCTGGCAATCTGCTTCTGTAAAGATTACAGTCAAGAAAACCCGGGGCAGTTCTATTCTGTAACATATGGGGTTGCCATGAGTCCAGAAGCCGACTTGATGGCAGCTGAACAACAGGATTCCCTGGGGCGGGCCACCAGCCTTGGGGAAGATGAAGCTAATCTGGGTGAGGAGGGAGTAGAAACAGCTCCAATCAGTGGGTTTCTAGGGAGACCTGACCTCCCCATCGTGATCTCTGTGGAATCTCGGGAGGCGACCCTCCTCTTAGAGGAGGGAGACCTGTGGCCCGCAATGGCTGAGATTAATCCGCAGAATGAAAAATATACTCTAGAAAATATGTTATTATGAGGTCCTATGAGCAAGGCCAGTGGCGCAGTGGTTAAGAGCTCGGCTGCTAACTGAATAGTCTACAGTTCAAATCCACCAGTGGTTCCACGGGAGAAAAGATGTGGCAGTCTGCTCCCGAGATTCCAGCCTGGGAGACTGGGAGACAGTTCTGCTCTGTCCTATAGGGCCGTTCTGAGTCGGAGTCGACTCGACAGCACCCAACAACACCATGAGCAAGCAACTTCACCCCGCTGGATGTGGGCCTAGAACCTGCCTCTTGGCTGCGTGAGGACCAAGTCCAGATAGGACCCTTAAAAGTGCCGGCGCTTAGCAGACTGCTTCTTGTCGCTGTTAGTGGGTGTCATTCTACTCACGGACAGAAAAGCGCATGACGGGCAGGCCGAAGGGACAGACGTGGGATGTGCGGGCTGGGAGAACCCCAGTCCTCATTTCCTGCCGGAGCAATTTTTCACAAAACCCTTCTCATTTCCTGGGTCACAAATGAATATCAGAAAACTAGTTGGAATTTAATATATAAAAGCCAGATTTTAAAAAAAATTAATCCTTTAACAATATTACTAAACTACCTATAATAGCCAACCAACTTTAACCTCCCAGTATGAAAGAAAACCCTAGATTTGGGACAGTGGGACTTTGTCTTCTAAAAACCACAGTCACTGTCTTCAAATGACTAGTCTGTGTCTATGAACTGAACATTGCAGGCCAGTGCAGAGCAATGCCCCTGACCAAGAGAACACGGGGGAGTGACAGGTTCCCCATAATCTCGTTAAGTAAGTATCACAATATGTCGACGACGTACCACCATTTATCCAACAAAGGAGGCTTGTTGATTTTTAAAGCTATAAAAAAAAGCAGCACTCTTTCTTGTCTTCACATCAGATAATTTTGCTGCTTTTTCCATTTCCTTTCAACGGGTTCATTTTCATTTTCTTCCTCAATTCTGGTTTAAAATTTCTCTTCAGAGTTTTGCTCCTCTCTCTTTTTCATATTCTCACCACTGAAGGTCACCTTTCCCTTTTTTTTGTTTTTTTTTGTTTTGTTTTGTTTTGTTTTGTTTTGTTTTGGCTAGCACTGTTATTATATTTTAACATTTTCTATCAGCTGTTGTGGTTATTTGAACTCTTTGAACAGAAAAAAATAATAAACTTGTATAATAGATATGTAAGCTTCAAGATCACTTTCTGGTATATTCAGTGTTTCTTATGATGCCTGTAGGTTGTGTGTCTGAGAGTATAAAATATGTAAGATAAAAATGAAAGTCGATATTGAATAAAAGAGCCAGGTTTATAACTATAATCTGTTTATTTCAGTGTTAGGTGGTTTCATGGAAGGCAAAGAACGAACCATCTGTCAAAAGCAACTTGATGGCCTGTAACTAAAGGCGGACCTCAAATGAGCCATAAATTTGATTTACCTTATGTTTAGCATTTCCTGGTTTTCTTTTGTTATCGTACCTTTCAAAATAACAGGGTAGGGTCTTTTCTTTGAAAAAATTGTGAGAGAAAGCTTGTAACTTAAATTAGAATGTGGATAGGTTGTATTTTTTTAATGAAAACAGTGATGCATTTTATATTAATTGTTTTCATTTCACATGACTAGTCAAGGGTAATTTTTTACTCCCTGAAGAATGTGGAGCTAACTCGCGTGAGCAGGAGCCTGAGGCCGGGAGCCAGGGCCCCACTCAGACCAGGTTTAATCTGGAAGGACAGTAGAACCGTTAGGGGGCACCCCTGAGGCTGGCTGCACCTCCCAAACGTGGGGCCTTAGGAAAGTTGTTTCATTGCTCTGGGCATTGAGTCATCACCTGTAGAAGGGCGTACGGTATCCGCGCCCACCCATGGGGCTTTGTGAGGGCGAAAGGAGTTAACGGGGTGCACCACTTACAACAGTGCCTGGCACAGAGTATGGGGGCAGTGTGTGTGAGCATCACCATAATCATGCCATCGTCACCCTGATGATGTGCGATTTTGCCCACACCACCAAACCCT